AGGGAGCTAGGGATGGCAGGCTGCACACGTGTTCCTCAGTTTCAAGAGGCCTAAACCCAAAGCAGAGTCCAAAAAGCAGGAGGGCATACAATTGCATTGCACCTTCACTAGGATACCGTATTTTCCTCATTTCTTACATGAACAACAGGAAAAAAAACCAACCAGAAAAAAAACAAAAACAAAAAACCAACAACAAAAATAAAAACAAAACAAAACAAAAACTCCTGAAGTTCACTGCTTACAGTGTCATTCTTACAGATCCAGAGGAGGGCTACGAAGTTGATAAGAGGTCTGCAGCACCTTCTTGGCAAAGACAGGGGCTGTTCAGCCTGGAGATGAGAAGGTTGCCTGGAGACCTCGTAGCAACCTTCCAGTATTTGAATGGGGTCTATGGGGCAGCCAGAGAGGGACTCTTCATCAGGAACTGCAGTGATATGACAAGGAGTAATGGGTACAAAGTGAGAGGGGAAATTTCGGTTAGATAGTAGGAGGACATTTTTTACTGAGAGGGTGGTGAGACACTAGAACAGGTTGCCCAGGGAGGCTGTGGATGCCCCAAACCTGGCAGTGTTCAAAGCCAGGTTGGATAAGGCCTTGAGTAACCTGGTCTAGTGGGAGGTGTCCCTGCTCATGGCAAGGGGAGCTGGGACTAGATGACCTTTAAGGTCCATTCCAATCTCTTAACATTCTATGATTCTATGATCTTTTCTAACTTATATACATCTATAAATAAATAACTTATTTATAAATGACTGCATTTGGATTGCTCCTTGGCAGCTCCTTTTGCTGAATCACATTCAGACAGACATCCAGGAAACAGCTCCTGCCCTAAAAATCTTGCAGTCTGGCTTAACAAAAAATGCAATAAATAAGTAATGAAATTGTGCAGCTGCTTAGAGAAATAGAATTTCTATTTGACGTCTTCAGGAAGTTTAAGCTTTTATATGTGTGCATTATATAAATGAATATGAGCATGCACTTACATTTAAATCCATTGTCAAGTCATAAGTTCTTTCTTTTTCATCCGTTTCCTGTTAACTTCTAAGGAAAACACTGATCCTGGGACCACGGCCTGTAACAGTTGTTGCCTGGGATTTTTTGTCAAGTGAGATGTTTAATGAGCTTTACAGCACACAATCCAACCCATTAGCTTTACTTGTGCCGCGGAAAAGGTGACTCAGGTTCCTGGAGGTTAACCACCTCTCTTTGACATGAATCAGGCAGAACATGCAGGAGTGACCACAGACTTTTGCTCTGTGCTGTCACCTACCTATTCCATACTGTGATTTGCTCAATGGAATAGGAATTTTCAGGCTTTGTAGACTCATTAATCACTGATTTCTCTAGAACTGTGTTAATATTTTGTGTTAGGGCTATGATCTGACCAATAACAGCAGAACTGCAGGCCAAACTCATTTCACATGAGTCAGAGAGGCAACCCAAGAGTATAATGAATTTCTGCCTCTGTCAGCCACAGCTGGATTCAAAACAGATGCTAACAGCTGAGAGGCTCTTTAGCCTGTTATGGATCTTCTAAGCCACCCAGTCTAGTCTTTGCCTGTCCTGACTGAAGATTATCAAAAAGGAGATCTATAGCTTAAGGAAATTCTTCCTAGTTCAGTAAAGTATGGTGGGTAACTGTACTCTGCTTTCCTTTGTCTTGACCCCAATTACTAAACACCGATAAGGATTGAGAAGTAAGTGGTTGCATTATTTAACAAATGAAAGGTCAAAAGCGCTGCTATTGAGTAAGGTCAAAGGTTACCATCACTGTTATTAAACAGTTTGAAAGCAGTTTCTCCCATTCCTCGCCATCCCAGGCTCAAACAAGGAGCTGCTCAGCAATCAGGCAGCCAGGAGGGAAGAGAGGCACCAGGCATCATTCAGCCAGCTGCTGGCTAGGTGGCTTTTCTTGAACACCTGCTTCAGTGAGGGAAGGAGCCACAGCCCAGCAGCTCCCATCAGAGGACTGAACTCTCTTGCCTCTGCACAGAACACGCACATACCTGTGTGCCAAACAGCTTCAGCTCCTCCCAGCTCTGTCCTTTAGAGATGGCATCCTTTTAGGTGAGAAATCAAACTTGAATTCCCTTCCTCTCATCTCAGGCAAGGTACAGAACATCAGAGCAGCATCAGAGTTAAACTACTTGTTTAAGTAAGTTGCTGCTGTGTGCACAGTGACTCCTGTATGTTTGCACAACTTCATAAAACATTTGAAAATACTTTTAGTGATGTAGTAGGAAGTGAGTTCATCTTCCTTCATGTTCTTCGGTATACCTTATCTCAAAAGAAAGAAAAATAGCTATCATTCTGTGTCACTTCAATTTCTGCTGGTACAGATTAAGAAGGTTGTCCTCAAAATACTCTTGCAGGACAACTATTGCGCTGTCCCGGGTTTCTGTTGGGTTGACCCTGATCACAAGTTATACTTCTATCCATCATCCACTTTTTCATGTTGTTGGGATAATCTGCAGCTGGTTCTGGTGCAGCAAAATATAGATAGGGGTCATTCCTTCCAGGTATGTTGAATATAAAGCCTGATTTTCCTACAAATTATCTCAAAAATTCAGACTGTCTCTGGCTTCAGAAACATTGCAGCTTTGAATCATTTCCCTGCATGTAAGTCATTACTGTATAAGGATAGTAAAAGATAGTAAACAAGAGAGAAAAGTACAGAGTTTTTCTGAATAAGGAAGGAGCGAAAGATGGCTGCTTGTCAGGAGGGGAGGAGACTGTGGAAGACAAACAGCTGAACAAACTTCAAGAACTGCAAAGTGAAGCCTTGAGCTATGCTGAGCAAAAAGTAAGGAACTAGAGCCAAGTAATGGTTTAACAGCAACAGAAGGGATCAGGGATGTCCCTATATGATATAGTACAGACACTTTCCTCTCTCTTGGAAATTGTACTAAATATGGAAAAACTTTGGGAATACTTTGACTGCAAACTGTTCAAAGGAAAAGGATGTGGGTCTTTTGGCTTCCCCAGGATCAATGCCATTTTTGTCCATTAGTGAGACCTGAGTTAGCTGTGTGCAGTCGTGGGGAGACTCAGAGAAGAAGGGGTGAAAGTGCAGTGTGTGCCATGAGCTGGACTCCTCCACTTCTGGAATTCAGTCTGGAATAGCACTCTGGGTAACAAGTCAGCAAGAAATTAGGCTAGTAGGTCAGGATGGGAGGAGCTGTGCTAAAATATAGAGGAAATCTGCAGGATGACTGTGACAAGCCTTCCCTGGAGATTCTCTTTGGCATAATCCTGGGCAGGCAATATGCCCAAAAAAAGTATTTCTCCAATCCAACTCAGGAAGAGACAGGCACAAGAGCCAAAGAGCTTTGTCATTTTGTGACATGAAGTTTTCTATGTCTTTAAGGTTTGTTTCATGCCTTTCATCACTTTCCTAATAGCAGCTGTCATCTGTCTGCTCTTGGTGCAGCGGGCAGGTAAAGAGTCTACTGGGGTAAGAAGTACCAATGTGCAGGATTATATCATCTTGCCTGGGCACCACATGAGTAGCTGTGATTCTTCTAGCTGGCAGCTGAACACGCATGTCTTGGTTGTTTTTCATTTACCCACAGGGGTGTGGTGCAGCATTCTGACCTTGCACACACCATGCTGCCAGTCACAGTGCCTGGGAAAGACAAAACAGAACAGTGAGAAACTGCTACGTCAGTGTAGTTCTGGCTGTGACTAGGCTTCAAGAGAATTTAATGCATTAGTGTAGGTGTTATCCACATTTCAGGCTGCTCGTTGTCCTAGTGTATTTGAACTAGGATTTAATAGAACAAATAACTAATACAGAGTTTTTCAAACATCCTACAAGGATAGGATAGGCACTGTATGAAAGATTGCTGAATTGTTTTGGTGATTCCTTGGAAGCAGCTTGCTGACGACAACCCCTGGTCTTGATGAGTTCAATTTTTAGGACTGACACTCATCCTATCTCTGCAAGCTGCAGATGCTACAACAAAATGGTGGAAAAGCATGTGTTATAGTACAGGTACCTGAGTGATTTAGGCTTTTCAGAGCCGTGACAAAGACCACATATCACAGAGAGGAATGAATCAGAAGCCATCAAGTAATCACAGTCTTGGTGTAACAAAGTTTAATCAACTTGTCCTTGGAAGAGAGCTCAGCAAGTCTGAAGCTTTCAGGTGGCTCCAGGCAGAAGCTTTCTAAAGCATTTAAGCAAAGGAGCAACAGAGACCTGGGTGATGCCTGATGCATGTGGCAAACTTAGGATCGCATGAGAGTTTCTGGTCTACCACTGAAGAGCCCGGAGTTGAAGTGAGGAAATGGATCCAGGGATGCTCTGGGATGAGAACAATGGACGGGGCAAATCTCTTTAACTAAAGATGACATTTTCAGAAAATATCTTCCTTGTAGTAAGCCTTGTTTTTATCTAGGCAGAGCTTATTCTGTTGGAGATAACTGCTTGTATCTCTTTGCCATATAGTCAGAGGCCACTGGCCTTTTCTCATGTCACTTTCTATAGTGATTGTTATTTTCAACATTTTTTTCTCTCAGGAAAATACTTACCAGTATGACATTTCTGCCCAGTATCAGGCACCTGCTTAGGTCTACTAACCTTTAAAAATGTGTAGGAATCAGAGACCAACTGACGTGGGGTGCGTGGTTTCAGATAACTGTGTCCTCCAAGCATCCAGCATCCAGAGAGGTGTGTGCATCCCCATCTTTGGGGCACTGACTCTTGTCAGCAAAGCTCAGCCATCCACTTAACAAGCCTTTTGCCTTTGTATGGATTCACTCACCCACCTGCTGCTGAATTACTTTGTTTTAAAAACCCAGGTGGTTTATGCTGACGCTTGTATTTGGTTTCTTTTTCCATTAATAGAGTGGAGCCAGGTAAATTATATCTGAGAAAGGGAGGAAAGGAGGGTTCCCTGCACAGTATCTGCTGCAGAGTCTGTCCCTCCACATGCAATGTGTGGCCCTCGCCCAACTAGCCTTGCAGTTGCACTAACAAAGTGCAACTCGTTTTTACTGAAAGACTGAAAAATATGTTCTGCCTAGTTTAAAAGAAAATGTTGCTCCTCAGAAATTTCCAGCCTTTCTTTTCCTCCTCTACTCAGTTCAGGGTGGAGATTGAGGAAATCTGAGATGACCCAGGAGAGAGAACAACAGAGACCTCTGCCTAAACTGTTTGAAAAGATAATACCCTTTCCAAATACTGGCACCTGGGAATCCCTTAATGACTTGGATGGTGCCTTGGGTAGACTAAATATCTCCTTTCAGAAACAAAGGATTATT